TGAAGCAAAGATCGTAATTTTTCTTTTTGAATGCTTAAGTATTTCAATTTGCTACCAATTAAACATGGAACCATTTCAAAATAATGCTTAATAACGAAGTTGAAATTCGATTTTCAACTGTTTGAAATTTTTCAATATTTTTCTCGTACTCCCCAAGTGAGTCACCCCTTAAAAGGCATAACGCCAATTTTGAATCACCCTGTATTTCTAAACAAAACTCTCTCTAAACAGAACAACGCGTTTTTTCCTACTGTTTTACTGTACAATACTGGCAAACTGGAGTCTGTTATGCAAAAAAGTTAAAAGATGGATTTACAAGAAAAGTCGTCGTCTTTACAGTTTGGCCTTCTTTATCGTCTTTTTCGAATACTCATTTTACCTTTGAATTTGGGACAAAATCCAAACAAAGCTGTCTTGTTTTCTTTTCGCCAAAATTTAGGTTTTCTCAAAAAACGACAGTGAGAAATTCGCCACTTTTGCGGCTGTGAAAAATTTGGTTTATTTATTTTAATTATGGTTTCTTCACTTTTAGGTCAATATTTCTAAACAAAACAACGCCTTTTTCAGAAGTGTTCCTGTAAAATACTGGCAAACTGAGTCTTTTATGCAAAAAAGTTAAAAGATAGATTTTCAAGAAAAGTCGTTGTCTTTACAGTTTGGTCTTCTTTATCGTCTTTTTCGAACATTTTACCTTTGAATTTGAGGCAAAATCGAAGCAAAATTATATCGTTTTTTTTTTCAACAGAATTTAGACTTCAAAAACGACCAGAGTAAGCCAAAGCATCAACATTTGGAAAACTCGTCACCCTCATCGCTCTGAATTTTTAAAGTTTCATCAAAATTTTCGGACTTTCCCGTTTAAAACCAAACAGTTTCAAGCAATCGTATGATGTTAAAAGTCCGTCATCGGCCATAACTCATAAACTCACAGAGCGGCCATAACTCAAAAGCGCAACTCAACGCAGTGTTACTCATGCCTAATCCACATCAAGCCACTGAAAAGTGGAACTCTTTTAGAGAAGACGTGCCCAAAAAACATTTGAAATCAAAATTTGTGGTAAACAAACGCATTGCACTTTTTCCAAGTGACCCAAACCACTTGACTGGCTGATGGTTAATGAGAAATAATTAACTAGAACTAAAAGCCCGGTGGTTTTTTCGGCCCTTGGAGCACGGGGGCAAACGATTTGTTGTTCGAAGCCGGCCATCCATCCAGAATTCCTTCCTGTCAGCGCCTACAAACCGGTTTCTTGCCGCAGAAATCCATAAAGCGTGTTTTGCGAAAGCACTCAAATAAAAACCGGTAGCGAACCGAAAAGGCAAACACCTCAGCAGGCTGGCAAATTATATTAATGAAGCCCCCCAGCAACGTGGCGTTAAATAATGAACTCACTTTGGCACACTTTTGAGCATTCTTGAGGCTGATGGGTTCGTTCTGGACGCAGGTTGCGAGTGCGTTCGATTCCCCGTATTAGTCGCGACGGCAAAAGGGGACAATGAAGAAACCCATCCATTTCCCAAGTCAAAGTGTATAAAGCGAAACTTTATCTAAGGATTAGCGTTGGGATGCTGTAAGTCACTTGCGCTCAGCTGAGCGGAAAACGCGTAAATTTCTTTGGAGCTCTTTATGGGTCTTGTGCCACTATGGGGCATGTTGAAATGCTCTTCGATTGTGCCCAATTTCAAACTTCAAGCCTTGATTCGCAATGCATTTAAATTTGAATATAAAGATAAGACACAGAGAGTTTTTGCCCACGGGTTGATGAAAATTAGGCCCATTAATGAACATTTTCCGTATTGATTGCTGGATGGAAAATGGAATTCTCCTCAAAAATGAGGTGCCATGTTTATTTATCGTCGCCTACCTGAGCGCAATCAATAAAGTGTCATCAGGATCCATGTCGAATAATGCAGGCAGTCATCTTGTTACAGAGCGGCCCATAAATATTCATCAATCTGTGTCGTTCCGACCATTCGATAAAGCATAAATCACTTATTTGACTGTAGTTTATGGGCGAATACCCGATAAAATATTTTTCGATATCGCCGATCGTTTACGTATTCGGGGGTGGGCTGTTTTTAATGTAATTAGCGCGCAACTAATTGGGATTTACCGGCTAACGAATTCTTCATTTGTTTGCCCAAATCGGAATCAAGCATTGATTAACTTCAGATTCAATAAGGAACTTTTCGATTTTTCACGCTGCAAAAGAACTAGCCAGGTTGTTAAACACTTTTTCAGATCATCTTCATCTGTTCCAACCAATTTCCAGCCGCGAGCGAATTTTCAAATTGGAATCCACGCAGCCAAGTCGATCGAACATCAATTCAATTTCCTGCTAATTCTCACCGACCTAATTAGGGCGGCAAACTCCTCTCGTCGCTGTAATTACCACCCCAAGTTGCATTGCGGGTGCAAATTCCTTGTTTTGTGGT